CAAACATATCTATAACTGACTTATCACTATGACATCATGAACTTCAGAATGAACATATCTATAACTGACTTATCACTATGACATCATGAACTTCAGAATGAACATATCTATAACTGACTTATCACTATGACATCAGAAAGAACATATCTATAACTGACTTATCATTACGACATCATGAACTTCAGAACGAACATATCTATAACTGACTTTTCATTATAACATCATGAGCGTCAGAACGAACATACCCATAAATCTGCAAGTTTTCTTTTGACACCAGATTCTGAACAATCAGAAACCCATTTTCTTCATAGAACTGCCTCTGTTCTGCTGTTAACTTGGCATTAGGTAGACTGTAAATAAACTGTTGTTTCTGGGATAAGATCTCCTGAATACCAGTTAAGACAAAAGTACAGTGAATGTAAAATAACATCATAAACTCAATTATGTACTCTTTAATACAAGTCAATCGACAGACACACACATAATTTCCAGTATAGCAATACTTAGAGAAACACAATGGAATACTGACACAGCATTAAAAGGTGAAGAGTAAACTTAATATCGGTCTACGTTATAAGGCCGATGAGATTCCTTCAAGTTATTTATAGAGAAGTTTTTAGAGCTTTAAAAATTAATATTCAACAGGATAGATCATAAAATGTAAAAAAGAATAAAAATGTTAAGAAACTGTTAATGCACCATACTAGTATTTTACCGAAACAAATAAATATAGTACCAAAGGATACAGTAAGGAAGTTGTTTTGTCCAAAGGCATGTATTCTATTGGACCCATTACCACCCGAGTTAAGGTGTCGAAAAACTGTTTTCATTCGGTATTCTGCCATTTCAAAGTCTGTTGATCTTTACAAGGAAAAAAAGCACAACTGACAAGTTTATCCGTACAACCCTATCCAATTACTGGACTTTATAGTGAGATACAGGTTTAAAACATTTGATTTCCATGGTTTGTTTTATGCAGATGTCCTGTTCGTTGTTGGAGCTGAATACTTCTGTTTACACGTTGTTCTTTGAAATGTTGTTTATCAATGTTCGTTCTTGCTGTGAATGTAATTCATGCATTGTTTGGAATAATGTACAAAAGAACATGTTAAGCCTAATTTGAATAATTCTTCAAACATCTATATGGTTAAAATTGTGATGGTTTAGTTGGGAAAAATAATTTCACTATAGTATGCAGCTCCAAATTAAAGAAACCTTGGCAATCAAGAAACTTAAACAAGTATTCAACTCAAATATTTCAGACTGGATATATAAAGATCTATAAATTATATGAAATTTTAATTTATTACTTCGTAAGAACTTAAAAGTGAAAATATCAGCCATATGTAGTGCCAAAAAAAGCCTTCCTTCCAATATCATGGCTCATCAGGACAGCTGGGATATGATAAGACACGTTTGTCTAATAATTAAGATGATGATTGTTGACAAAAAAGAAAGCATTCTATTTACAAGGTTCAAATGTTTCAGAATACACTTATTCCATATTCAGCAAAATCTGAAAATAGTGTTACAAAGATATTTATTAATTAAAACTATAGTATTATTAATCACTAGTTAACTTAATTGTTAAGTAAAGTGGTAAACAGAGGGAGAAAACAAAAAAAAATTGTAGAATATATTAGGAAACAGTTGAGTCCCGAGTGTGTAAAATTAGAATGATTTTAGGTCTAAAGAGGTTTGTAAGTCGTTAAATGTAGGGTGGTTTTTAGCTATGAGTAGACTTTCTTTAACTTAGAGTTCAAGGTCTGTAGTAACGACAGAGAAATCATTAAATGAAATATTGTGACCCGTGGTTTCAGCATGTGAATGAATGGAGGAGGGACTAGATTTAAGTAGCGGACGGTCGATTCTATTAGATACTCTTAAATGTTCACAGACTAGTTTTCAAGTAGCATTTTATTCTGCCAATATACATGTCACTACACCTATATCTATAACGTTTTGGGAATTGATCTATAAAGTGAAATAAGTTGTCAGTGCAGAGGCTAGATCTGTATATTAGTCTGAGGCTAGGCCTGTATATTAGTCTGAGGCTAGGCCTGTATATTAGTCTGAGGCTAGGCCTGTATATTAGTCTGAGGCTAGGCCTGTATATTAGTCTGAGGCTAGATCTGTATATTAGTCTGATGCTAGGTCTGTATATTAGTCTGAGGCTAGATCTGTATATTAGTCTGAGGCTAGGCCTGTATATTAGTCTGAGGCTAGGCCTGTATATTAGTCTGAGACTAGGCCTGTATATTAGTCTGAGGCTAGATCTGTGTATTAGTCTGAGGCTAGGCCTGTATATTAGTCTGAGACTAGGCCTGTATATTAGTCTGAGGCTAAGCCTGTATATTAGTCTGAGGCTAGGTCTGTATATTAGTCTGAGGCTAAACCTGTATATTAGTCTGAGGCTATATCTGTATATTAGTCTGAGGCTAGGCCTGTATATTAGTTTGATGCTATGCCTGTATATTAGTCTGAGGCTAGGCCTGTGTATTAGTCTGAGGCTAGGCCTGTATATTAGTCTGAGGCTAGATCTATATATTAGTCTGAGGCTAGGCCTGTATATTAGTCTGAGGCTATGCCTGTATATTAGTCTGAGGCTATGCCTGTATATTAGTCTGAGCTGAATTTGAGGGTAAAGTTTTTTTTATTAATGAGGAAAGTTGTTTTTAATTTTTAAGGATTATGAATCCATAAAAGAAAGGGAGACAATGAGGGGAAATATGGGGACAGTGTACACATTGTCCGATGGTTGGAATTTGATGTCTAGGAAATTGCATGAAATCTTCATTAGAAAATAAGACGAGCAATTATTTAACACGTTTGTGTAGAAAGATAACTTGTTCGTATAAAATAGAATAATTAGAGCAAATATGAAAAATTCTATTTAACAGTGACATGACTAGATTATGTTTAAAAGAAATTGAAGATAAAACTATTGAAACTGGTGTAGAGGCCAGTAAAAGTTCTTTTATGATAAACAGAGGTAGAAAATTGTTTAGCTTCTTTGGTAATCCTGACATCTACAAATGGTAAGGAATCACTTTCCTTTAATGGGGATGTAAACTTGATTTTGGTGTGTCAAGAATTAAATTAAGAAAGGAAATTAGAAACATGACTTGATTATTAAAGTAGCAAAAACGTTTCATCAATATAGTGTTTGTAAAGGATAGGACTGTGGGCAGTTTTCTAGCCACTTGCATCCATGATAGCATAGAAAACTATTGGCTATCATTGAACCCAGAGGGGATCCCACAGTGATTCCATCTCTCTGGTCATATTCAAGATAACACCATTGGCTATCATTGGACCCAGTAAGGAACCCACAGTGATTCCATCTATCTGGTCATATTCAAGATAGCACTACTGGCTATCGTTGGACCCAGCAAGGACCCCACAGTGATTCCATCTATTTGGTCATATTCATGATAGCACCATTGGCTATCATTGGACCCAGCAGGGGATCCCACAGTGATTCCATCTATCTGGGCATAAATGAAAGAGGAAGTGGTCTAACTTGGAGAGAACAAGATGTTCCAAGAATTGTTTACAGCTGAAACCAAAATATTGGTCAGTGTCAGTAGAGGAGAGAAGGTCCACGATTAAATTTAAAGTTTCATCAAGGAGAATATTAGTATAGAGAGATTCAGTATCAAAATTGGCTATAACATATTGATCATCAGAGGGAATTTTAGATATTTCAGATTACAATCTTTTTTGTTTCTCCTTCTGTTTACCACTTTGCTTAACAACTATGTTAACTAGTGATTAATGATATTATAGTTGTAGTTAATAAATATCTTTGTAACGCTATTTTCAGATTTTTGCCGAAGATGGAATAGATGAAATCCAAAATGTACGAACCTTGTAAATAAAGTGTTTTCTTTTTTGTCAACCATCATCACCTTCATTATAAGAC